ACAAGTTTATTTTTATTTTTTGTTCAGAAGCGCGTGAAAGATCGTGTCCCTGCACGCGTTTGTGGCGCTGACTGTGCTATGGCGACATTTTGTTTTCGTCGATTTCTTTGGATTTTACCCGTGAGCGCGTGCTGTCGGCATCGGGTACTACAAAGTGTGGCATCACCCTAAACAGAAGGACATTGAGGCACCCTAGTTTAGCCTACTGAGCTAAACCAAATGAGCTACTCTAAAGCGTGTTTCACATGCAGCGATTTTAGCCCTAGAGCGGCGCTATTTCTGCCGTCGCAGCGCTCGTGCCGCTCAACCGCTGGTGCTGGCCAGAGCGCCGCGACGGCAGAAATCGCGCCGCTCTAGGGCCAAAACCGCTGCATGTGAAACACGCTTTAGAGTATCGGTGCTCTTTTCCCCGATATTGTTGTAGGCGCCGCCATCTTGATGGTTAGCACAAAGCAAACGCGACTGCCGATCGTCATGATTCAAAAGTGCGACTTCCTCAGCATTCAGCATTAGTTACGGTGTTAAGAAGCTCACGTAATATTGATTTGCTTTGTCGCGAACTGTCTAAACATTTGTGGAGGACGGAAAACCGTTTCCTGTGATTTCAGATTAAGCTTCAGATAACTGACAACCAACATTTTAACCGCCAAGATGTGTATGAAGCGTAGCTTATTTATACCCCTGTTACACGGGCACACTTAACTGCAGTTAGGCTAAGCTGCAGTTAGCGCACAATACTTGCCGACAACATTTTGCGGCTATGCAGTCAAAGCTATGGGCGAACGTGCGCTTGAGCATCTTGAGCATCTAGCAAAGCAGTGCACGCGCGCTCTTCACTTCTTCTGAAATAGCTGTCAGAGAGTATAGTGCGGTAACTGTGGTGCCGCGCAACAGCAGTTAAACTGAGTTAACCGCGGTTAAGTGTGCCCGTGTAACAGGGGTATAAGTGGCTGTAGTTTAGCCCGACCGCACAGGCACAGAAAGAGAACGAACTGCTTGACCTCGCGCTTTTGGCGCTGCTTCAGCTTCATCGGCCCGTAGCGTTGGCTGTGCTCTAAACTAAGGTGAAGCAGAGCAAATATTCATATCTTAGGGTTTTACAAGCCAAACAGACAAAAATCACCTAACACGCCCCGATAAAAGAAAATAAAAAAATTCCGGGTTTATTTTCACTAACTGGAGATATTTTGACGTGCAACCGAAATATCATATAGGCCTCCGTCAGATTGCGTGCACCTCGGCCGGTATTTAAAGGAGCGATGCAACAATTTTTGTACTGTGCACAAATACCGCTTAAATCGGATCCCTAACGTTAATGACCTATGAAACACGCGTTCGTTTTTCACCCCACGCAATAGAAGTCCCAGAAAAAAATTTAAGAAAAGCGAGCGGCGTTCACCCCCTCAACTCGCAGCCAGAACAAGCGGCCACGTGATCTGGAGCCGATTATATGCCGCCAGTGTTGATCATAGCCACGCGCAGGGGTTGGCAAAGCGCAGGACACGCGCTGAGTTCCAGACATTGTTATGGCTCGGCTGTTGTCGTCGTTGCAGCGATTGGACACGGGTCACAACCCGAATGCTTCTCGAGCTAGCAATTGTCACGAGCCCAAGTCGAGTGCCCACGCAATGCTCGGGTCCAATCTATGAACCGCATTCAAATATCGTCACTTGGGTGTACTGGGATCCCCGAGTTACGTCATCAAATTTTGCAAAGGAGAGATTGAATGAAAATGATCGCTTTTGTCCTTGAAATTACACCACAACAAAGGAGTTTCTTGGCCAATGGTGTTGCGTGTGAGTATCCTTGAGTCCGAGGTGTGCCAGTAAGCTAGTGTAGAGAGAAAAACATTCCAATTGAATATCGTTGCACAGCTCCTTTAAACCCGACAAATATGCATTCATGGGCCAGCGCGTTGGCTCAGAGACACTGAGACGTTTTAATGTTTTGTGTTTTGTTATAATATTACTGCCACTTAAGAACCACTGAGGTGGTTTTTGAAACAAAATATTGTCGAACAATTGAGACACGCATAGTTTGATTGCGAAAATGATTTTGAAAGTGATAAAAAAATTCAAATGTTTTCCCATACGTGGCGGAATCCCAAATGACGAAATTTCTTTCATGGCGCCCATTCAATTCGGATCGCGTCAGGCATGTGTATAGACGCTTTACACACGCGCCAGATTGAGCCGCCATAGCCGCCCTTCTCTTGTCTTACCGAGATGCCGAGCCATTGAAGCGGGCGTTGACGGGTCTTCACAAGGGCCTATGCTGGGCACAAGAACACAGTAGGATCTAAAATGGCAATAACCTGTCCTGCTGTGGTAATGATGAAGTGAAGCGAACGGAATAAGAGGGAACAAAAACTGAACGTCAGTTATGGTGGCGCCCATGCACAGCTGCTGTAAAGCGTCTATACCGACGCACAGTAGAACGCGCGCAGAAGGAGCTGTGGTGCGCCCGCAGCCTCACGCTTGCTGTTCTGACATCTCTGGCTCACTCACTGCGGGCATCCAGGCATTTGACACACTGACATCTGGCGCTTTTTCTGTCTGTCACGTGGTGTTCCAAGTGGCACACGACGGTAAATACACATCAAGCTATTCTTAAACACGTGTCGTCATCTGTGTTTTATATTAAGAAACTGCAACTTGCCGTAACTGAATGGGAAAGTTTTGATGTCTAATAACGCTCTTAACGTGTAATACATCAGTATGGAAGTTCTGAAAAATGTAATTTCGAAGGATGCTATGTAATTTAATGTCTCGCAATTTTGATTAGTTGACGGTATTCCGTTTGCATAGCACTATAAAATAAGACGATTTTCATTTTTTATATTAAAATTTAAATTAACTGTACGGTTCGTTCCTCACCTTTTTAATTCATTATATCCAACCGAACGCTCACGTAAAATATTGTGTACGGTGGGACGTTATAACTCCAGAAATATTTTTTCAATATTAGAGACTGTGGCCTATCAAAAGCAGAATAATTAAGTAACTAAAATATTCGTAATATCGAGGTATTAAAGTATCGTTGAAAAACAGTTCTTTAATTTGACATTAACTTTATAATTGTAGGATGCATAGAAAGAAAGTTATAAACCGTCAGAAAAGCACCAAAACGTCATGCACAGTGGGGTTGCATCTTAAAGACAAAACAACAAGCGTTCCCTCCCTCAACTCGCAGCCACGCAGTGGGGTTGGCAAGGCACAGGGCACGTGCTATGCTCCTCACGATTTTATACTTCGGCAATTCTCGACACCGCAGCAATTTCACAAGAGAATGAACCTAAATGTCCCCCACGGCAGTGACTTTAACCGACTTCATGCCAAACACGTGATGAAGAATTCCCTTGCTGGATAATTGTGACGCCCCAAAATTGCTCCATGCTCGCACCTTTGGTGTGGTAAATGCGAGCGCGTGCTAGAACGACTAAGAAGATTCCCCAAAACAGCGCTCCAAAACCACTCTCGAAATTCACCAAGGTAATGCCCCATTACTCAGGGTCTGTGGTCTTTAAAAAATCGCACTCCTCTCCCCCTGGAGGCAGTCCCCTAACAACGCTTATATTTATTCCCCGCACTACATCTGCACGATTTGCGAAGGACAGGCTGATAGAAATAATTTGTTTCAATCTGAAAATATACTGAGTCAAAGAAGCTCAGGAGTGTAGCGTGCGAGTATTCTTATGTCACACTTGTGTCATCTTGCATAAAGTGCTGAACATCTAAACCCAATATCCTCACAAGCCCCCTTTTAAAGTAGGTTCCGCGCAAAGGTCAAACCGAAACAAAATGACATCGGGAGCCGTCATAATGCATTAATATGACAGCATCCGCTCGTTACGGACTTTCAGCGGGTTCGCTGCTGTTAAAGCCACACTAGGGAAAATTCCACGATTTTAGTGCAACCCGTGAAAATTGTTCGTGATTTTGAATAATGTTCAATCTTTTCCTAATGCCTACTGTTTTGTCTAACACATTTTTTTTATTCTTGAAAGAAAGGGGAATATTTTTGGTTCGAGTAGTTAATTTAAAAACGCCTTCTTTTACTCCAATCCAGGGCACACTCTGAAGACGGCCGCAGGCCGTGATGGTTGGGGCGAAGGAGTCGGTCGTGGAACCCCGGCCGGTCATGCCCTGCCCATGAGGTGCAGCACATCATCTGTAGTGGGTGCCTTGCTGGTGACCCTGTGTGTGGTGGGCATCTTCTGCATAGTCCTGCTGGACGTCACCGTCGGGCTCTTCATGGTCGGAACCAGTCTCACCGTGTCGCTGCTCTTTGGCATCGTCTGGCTCGGTCGCACCTTCTACAGTGGCCAGCCGCGTCGCTCATCTTCATGCCAGCAGATGGACGCGACCACACTCTCCACCGCTCAAGGTGGAGACGCCCTAATGGCCATCGATATCCCGCCCTACCCGGCCTCCCAGGACAAAAGGGCTCCTCACACTTCAGATCTCCTTCGCTTGCAATCTGTGCCTGGCAACGACCAAGCTGTCCGCATGACTAAGTGGCCACCGGTGCAGCGAGAGAGTGATGATTTCACGACCGTCTTCCTCTAAAAGCGTTGTTGTGACAAGAAGCCGATAGAGGAATTTGGCGCGGTGCAATTGTTTTATGAACCACGTTACTTTGTTTATTTTACTTTTACTAGAGCGTCGCAGAGTGCTATTATTTTTATCAATTCGTGCAAGTGACAACATCAGCAGAGCGTACAACAGTGAACTACACAGGCATTTGAGTGTTTGCTGCAGCAATTAAGGGTTTCAAGGTCTAGCTGCTTGGATCGGAGGTTGAAAATATCGTGCATGTCTGATGTTTTTCTTGTTATTGCGGGAAGATTACTACGACTCGCAAATTAATTTTATTTCTTGAAGATAGCTACGGCTCCAATGAAAAGCGAGACCCCGGTATTAAAGACGTAAATTAACGGTACAGTGCTCGTGGGCAAAGTAACCTGACCGTGCTGTGTCAGTGGTCAATCTTCCTAAATAATGCCTCCTCCGATCAGCCCTGGAAACCCAAGTGTCTTAGATGAAAGGACACCGATAGGTGATAGTCGCCACGATCGAAACGTTCAGGATAGCAGGTCTCATGGAGGATGCTTGGAGCGCGTAAAAAACTGCCTGGCGCTTAAAAGCACCCTGGTGTTATGTCTGATAATCATTACTTTGACGTTTGTTTCCGGAATGGCTCTACTGGGAGCCGACTTGCACTGGGGCGGACTGGGACTGGTCTGCGTCGCCTTGCTTGTTTTTGTTGCCCTCTGTCTGCTTCCACTGAAGAGGAAGGGCGCCGTAACACCGCAACCCCGAAACAGTGCCGGTGGCGTTTCTGTGAGGCTACGGTCAGAGCCATTACCGGTATCTATGTGTGCCCACCTGCATATGAGGAGCGCAAATATGAACGTAGTACCGTACCCTCTAGAAGAGGTCACCATCGTTGACATCAGCAAGATGTATCCACCACCGTTTGCTCCTCCCCCGTACCAGGAGAAAGTGCCAGACTCTTATAGAAAGGCTCAGCAGCTTCTGATAGGCCCGTAATTTAGAACGTATCTCGAAGAGTTAGTTACACCTCTGGAAAAGGTGACACGTGGACGAAGAACGTAATTAGCCAGAGTCAACTGGCAGATAGTGTTGATGTACTGGTCATTGCTCATTGAAGAGTTTCTGGATATCGAACGCTTCTGTTTTATATCTATGTTCTCATTAGTGAGCGATGAAAACGCTCACGAAGGTCGAAAACAAAAAGTTTAATAAAGTACAAAGTAAGCTGTTGAGTTTAAACAGCTAAATGATTTCAGAGCTGCGCGATATTGCGCACTAATGGTCGGAGCCGGGAGGGAGCGTTCGTTAAAGAGCTGATTAAGTACGGCTGATTGCACAATACCGCTAAGGTAATTTATGATGGGACGTGCTTGGGCTCAAAAGTGGCAGAGCGTCTTTACATACAATGTGCTACCAGCACCGCGCATCGGCAGCTACTACAGACTAATAGCAGCGCGGTCGCAAACGATGGTGCGTCGCCGTCGTTCACGGTAAACCGATCTGGACGCGCGCGTTTTGATGTGGTATGCGACTTGAGTCAAAAATCACTACGCGTCACCAGCATCCAATAGGAGTTCTCGCGGCACGATCAGAAGGAGCAGGAAGTGTTGTGCACATCTCCCAGTCCACCATAGCAAGGGAAGCGACAGATATAATATACTCCGGCGAACTCTAAGAGCTGGATATTCCGCCAGCACCCAATAAGCACCGCCGCGACACAACCAAAAGCTGGCCCACCTCCACCCTTTGTTCTTGCAGCGGGCGCCTCTGTTTCAGGGGAATTTATCCACTCGTCACTCAATGGGCAAACTTCGCTAGACGAAGCTGAGTTTCAGGAATGCTCCCGAGTTTGATTATTTTTGAGGTTCATTATGAAGATATATTGAAGGGCGTAAGGCCCTTGGATTTTCCTTTGAGAGCACTGGGATTTTTAATTAAATCCAGAAATATGAAAATTTTGATCGTTTTCGCGCATTTTGTGGCAATTTGGAAATGAAATAACGTAAAAGACGAAAGTAACAAAACAAATGGCAGTACGTACCAGAGGTGTCCCTTAAATTATTTTTAAGACCCTTACAGGAAATCTAAATCTCATGGTATTTGCGTATTTGTGTAAATAAATTTGACAGGGCCGTCTTTGCTAGATTTATTTTTAATGGGTTCAACGAGATGGCGACACCAGTACCAAATGCCCCAAGCCAGAGCATTTGTGGTTGTTGCTGCTTTCACGAGCTTTCACGTACGCCGCCTCGCGGCACAAGTCCTTTGCCTGACGCCGCTGAGATCAGTTTTGCCGTTTCGCCGGAGAATGGACTATGTGAAAGTTCTGTCTGCTGTACCACACACAAAATAGGACCAATGATAGGCGACAGATGTATGACGTAGTGATGCCATGGCAACGTGCTATGTCCTGTTGCCGCGCGACGAGCTTTTATTTTTCAATTTTAGAGTGACCGCGGCCGATGCCACGCCCTATGCAGCCAATCTAGAGGTAAGAATGTGCCACGTAACCTCGCGCTCCGCGAGTCCCTAGGTGACACCGAGGAGTCACACGCCCTCAGTAAAGCCCCTTGGTGTGTTTGTATGTCTTGCAAGCGGCATCAAATAATCAAATACGCCAATGCACGAGCCGGTGCCTCCTGCGACACTTGGAAGAAATTGCGGCGCAGCACTCAAATGAGCTAAAGAAATTAGTGGCTCTAACCGCCGAATTCAGAAACCTCACTCAAACTACACTCAAACTGAAGGGCCCCTCCACTTCCTCGAGGAAGGCGCGAGGGCCGGCGCTGGCCAATCGCGACGGCGGATCCGTCCTCGCGATTGGCCAGCGCCAGCCCTCGCGCCTTCCTCGAGGAAGTGGAGGGGCCCTTCACTTTGAGTGTAGTTTGAGTGAGGTTTCTAAATTCGTCGGTAAAGTCCCTCTATCCTGGGAAAAGTGGCGCCATTCATTGTTGGGGAAATGCTCGAGACACGTGCCGGGCGCCACTTCTGGGAAGAACATGGCGTCCGAAATCTAGCTCAGTGCTGCGCTCTGCCGCCATGATCTTCCCAAGGGCTGCACGTTGCACGTGCCTCGTGCATCGACGTACCTTGCGCTACTTTTGAGACGTGAAGGGGCTTTAAGTGGCTCTCTTATGGAGCGTCCCTGTAAACTAGAGCGCACCCCCGCACACACCAGCTCGGAGCTCATGAAGCGAAAGCTCGCGCTGCAGAACCCAGGGATCCTGGGTTCAATCCCCACCTCTGCCCGTTTCGACCTGGATGACCGTCGTACCGGCGTGCGGTCGTGTATCACTATTGCGTGGTGCACGTTAAAGACCCCAGGCTAGCGGTTGTACTGCACTCGCTAAATTGCTCATCTACAGCTGGGAGACAGTCGCCCGTTGAGGCGGACTAAGTTCTAGGCTGTATAGATATACACACACACCAAAAGGTTTTCTTTTACAGCGGACCTGTTAAGGGCTAGTTTCCCCAGTAACATGTCCGTCAGCAAACAAATGATGACACTAAACTCTAGACAGCTACCGCCGTCACTTATAGATGGCGGCAACCTCTCCAGTCTTTCCACTCTGGTTTGCCGACTTCCGACCGGCCATTACTTCATTCCCACCATAGTACAGCTTCGCTGGTCTTCCTTCTTCATCAGAGTGGAAAGGCTGAAAGCTTTTTTGGTGCGGCCTTCGAGAGGAAACTGCGGTCCGGTCTCTCGCTCGTGTTCTCGTGGCACGCCTCTCTCACGTTCGCCAATAGTGGTTGTTGGTTCTTGTAAGAAACGCGGAGCGTGATTTTTACGAAGGGGTTTAGCTCAGAGCGCTGGTTTGGCTTCCCTTGCTTCTATCGGCCGCTTCACATCACGGCCATTTTCTGGTCGATCTTATGTTTGCAAAAAATAACCATATGCGCTGTGCCTGTGGCGTATCTCAACGTAAGAGCTCGGGCCGTATTACATTTAATAAACTATCTGTATTCAAATACTTTTTTTCACATTTTCGCGAGCCAAGGCGGGAGTTGGTAATGATCCCGGGGCAACCGTGAATGTGGTCATCCGATTCAGCCCTTTGATTCTACGGCGTCGCGTAGCTCAAAATGTAAGAAGACTCAAGTTCGGCCGAGTTAGCGCTACACGTGGCTTGCAGTAACGTCATTGCAGCATGCCGGTGTGCATTTTACTTCCTCTTGCAAATAAAAAAGAGCGATAGTACGCAGTTTCGCTGCAAATGATACCAAGGCCACCACACTCGCAGCTGGTGTGACGTCAGTGCAGGCCACGAAACCGCTGCGCTAGTGCCTTCGGCTTCGCTTGCATTTATGTTGAAATAGAGCCTTGGCACACAAACGCTTTATGGCGAATTCCACTGGCCGTTTTGGAGCGCGCCGGGATCAGTTGACCAGATCCGGACTGGAGCACACGATCCGAACGGGGTCGCGCCGCCTACGGATCCGCAGTGGAACATGATTATACTGCTCCGGGATCGGCGGATGCCTTCCCGTCATTCAACTGCCCGGGAATCCCCTTTCCGCGGCAGCCGCGGTCGTTTCGAAGACGTTTTCGCAATCGCGGCGCTAACACGTGTTCGACGCACGAGCGGCAGGAATGGCTCAGGCGCTTCTAGCAAAGATTGCCGGAATGCCCGTAGCGTCGGCAAATACCTTCTTTTCTCCTTCCTGAAAAACGAACCGGCTGTCGAGCCAAGGGGTAAGCAAGCGGCCATTACGAATTCTTATGATGTCGAGACAATCTAGGAGCCCAGCCCGCAACGTGATTCTTCTTCTTCTGAGGCAAGATGGGCGAGATCAGGCGAGATGCCCCACGAGAAAGGAAGTCACGTGTGTGCGCCGAGGGCTGGCCCAGCTGGCTTCCGGTTGAATACGCCGAAATCGTGGGAGCGACTTTTCTCGGATCCAGATCGAGATCTGGAGTGGGAGCTAATCCAAAACGACCAGTGAAACACGTCGGTCTCGATCCGATCTCTCAGTGAAATAGGCTCGCTCTAGAAAAGTCGATCCCGGCGCGCTCCAAAACGACCAAGTGGAATTCGCCATTAGACATGAGCCAGATTACAGCTGCCATGGCTGACTTTCTCCTGACTTACCGAGATAGCAAGTCACCGAAAGAAGCGCTGACGAGCCTCTTCGCAAAAAGGCCAATATGGTGGGAAGAAGGACACAGTACCATCTAAAATGGCAATAACCTGCCCTGCTATGGTAATGAAGTGGAGTAATAGGAATATCATGAAACAAAAACGGATGGTCTATGTTATGGCGGCAGCCATGCACAGTTGCCGAGAAATGCAAACGGTTGTGCAATCAGAAGACACAGAAAAAAAGGAGTCACTGAATAGCCGAGAAGTACAATGCATGCGGAGGCTACAATCCACCAGAGTCAATCCAGCAGTGAGGGGATGTGACTGTCCAGGTTTTCCTTGCGATTCTCGGAGCTCTAGGTCACATTGTGCTGAATTGGCTGTTATAGTTACTCTGGAATAGCTCGCGGCTTCGGCAGCGGTCATATACTCCTGAAAGAGATAGACAGGCACTCGTGAACGCTGACAAGGTATTGCGCGTTGACATGGCATCAATACTTCATACAAGCATCGTTCTCCTTAGACTTCCTCTAGACATTCTCCAGACGGCAATGGAATCTCGCAGTTCTCCAGCAAAGCCGTTGGGCGAAGCCGATCTAGGCCGCATGGCCAGCCCGTAGCTCTAAAGTTTTGAGCAGCGCTCCAGGCGAGCAAAACAGAATATTTGGCTCGCGTTTCGAACCTGCGTCGTTACGCTTCCCCAGTACTGTTTTTTTATACTCCGGTTCATTATGAATGCAAGCGTAGTAGAGGCTACGAGAGCGAGCTCCGAGCTTTCAGTGTCCCTTCGAAGCACGCGCGCTGGAGCAGTGCGAGCATCGTTCAGGGGTATAACATGCTTTTGCAAGTAGCTTCAGCTTCGCCATCACGTAAAGTGAAACATATGGGCTCACGAAAGCTATATAAAAAGCA